ACCACGCTCACAAGGGCCCTTGAAAAGAACTTGGTTGGTGAGATTGTCCCGAATCGTAAAATCCTTAGAGGTAAAAAGAAGAGAACAATTGTTATCTTTAGTAAATTGATGGACAGAAAGAAGATGAGAATTAATGTGAGGGGAATGGAGAAGGTTGGTTAAGGTAAAAGTGTGGAGAGGGGTGGTGAGTATACCTGAACCTGTATGGTCAATGGGATAGGTGTTACCTCCTGCAGTTGTGATGGAATTGGGGCCATGGTACGGAGTTAGAGTATGTAGCCGAGACAAATCAGGTGTGACATGGGTGTTTGCTCCAGTGTCCAGATGCCAGTTCGAACTAGATTCAGTGGATTGATTTGCATAAAACGCCTGCGGAGGACCAGTGTAGGATTCATCGTAGCGGTGCCAACAATTCCAAACCGCATGACCGGGCTTCCCACATAATTGACAAGTGACGGATGCCCCTCGTCCGCCACCTCTGCCACGCGCATCGTCACGGTATGGCTGTTGCCGGCCACCCCTGCCAGCTGGGTTACCACCACGGTACAGCCCTCCTCGGCCTCGTGGTGGCCCACGGCCACGCCCTCGTCCAACGCCTCGTCCGGAATGTGTGAAAAGAGCATTATGAATGTCGACAGACGAGGTAGAACCAGAGTCACCCAGAGATAATTTTTTCTCAAAGGATAAGTTCAATTCCTCAGAAAGCAACCAAGAGGAGACCTGATTAAAGGTGACTGTGGCGATGTTGGTGCGAATATTTTGCTTGAGGGAGGCAAAGTCAGCCAGTAGACCTCGAAGAACACACAGAATAATATCTTGTTCGGAGATGTCCTCATGAGCCAACTTGAGAGACGACACAATGGTGAGAACAGTGTCCAAATATGTTTGCATGGAATCGGTCCCCTTACTAACACCATGTAAACGCTCCTTCAACTGAAAAATATGAGTGCGTGAAAGTGAATTGTACCGTTGCTCTAGATGATTCCATATTGCAGCCGCGGTGGGAAGAGCGTGAATATGGGTTTGAACCGTAGGGGAAACAATAGCGAGGAGACAGGCCCGAATCTGAGCGTCAACAATATGCCATGATTCATAGGCAGAATTGGGCTTCATAACCTGGGGTTCATCCTTCCCCGGTGCCGCAGCTTTCTCATCGAGAATAAGAGGCGGAGGTGATGGTTCAGATCCATCCACATAACCGAGAAGACGATGAGCGAGGAGATTTGCACGGACGGTGGCCGACCAAGAGGGATAATTGGTGTCATCAAGCTTGACCGGAGTTAGGGATTGAAGATTCCGGACAAACAACTTGAGTCCCGTAGGAAGACGATCCATCGGATCAGAGGATACAGGAGCCATAGCTGTGCACGGCTTGAACAGAGGAGAAGAAATCGGCAGTGCCGAAATTTTTTTTTCTTTGGTGATTAACGCAGCAAAGGGGAGAGACACGGATCTTTGAGCTCTGATACCATGTTGATTTATGAATTCACTCTTAAGGAATAATTGTGTATATGGATGTTTATATAGGTGAGGATCCCTACATGGACTAGGATTCACCAAATATGTAAACTAACATAAATACAATTCTACTATAACTAGACTTCTTTCCATATATGTCTAACAACCGAGTACTACGGAGTATCATTTATTAAAGAATAAAATTTTACTTTTTTTTTTACTTTTTTTTTAAATTTTTGAGAGAAAAAGATTAAACTAAAAGTAAAACATTGAGAATATACCAAATAGGGGTTCCATGTTTTTATTCCCAAAATATGAGTTAAAGTACTAATACAATGCCAATCATGTAAATATATAATACCAAAGTTGATGGGTGTAATCCACCCAGAACTGGTCAAAGGAAATGTCGAAATATTTGACCGGTCAAGTTAATTATTCTTGAAAGGGGAACCCTAATCGTCAGTAAAAGGATGCTCGGTTGACTAAAAAATTTACTGGTGTACTTCTGATAGTATACCGGTCAAACTACTTTATCGCCTCATTCATTCCCCAATTTCATAAACCCATCCCTCAGGAATTACACGGTATGGTTTCTAGGGTTGAAAAGTGTCGGCAAGAGAAGAATCCAAAAGGATTTGGATTGTAGCGACCATGAACGGAGAATCATGGGAGATGCTCGAGTAATCCATCCAAGGTAGTACGCGACAAGAGAGCCACCTTTCTCTCTAGGTGACAAGGTAGCTAGAGGACAGAAGTAGTTGTCTCACATCATCCGAGAACGTGTCATGAGTGGCGCCTTGTCCCCCTTTAGCTTAGTATAAATACTGGTGTAACCTTCAAAGGAAGGGATTTGATTTCTTCTCTCTAAATTCCTTTATAAAAGCTCTCGTTCATTCTCCTATATTCTTAATATTAATTGGGCTACAGGTGTTTCCACCTACAATCCTCCCGATCACTTTATGTGTTTTTACCTTTTTACTTTTAAGAATCTAGTAAACAATCCTAGACCCGGTCTAGTAATGTTTACCCAGTTAGGTAATTTACACTATCAAAAGTGTATTGATAAATATCCATATACGTACCCACATTATCACAATGCAAGCTCTTTTGGTACTTTTTCTATATTTTACTTCTATTTAGGTTGATTTCTTTATGTTCTAATATTTTTAAATGTTTTTAAATCAAGCCTTTTGGCAAGCAAATATCCTATTTTCTTTTGTGCTTTTTGCTTTGAATATTTTTCTCTTCTTTTTATAGTCGGCCCGGTTCTAGTGACACCGGAGAACGGTGCCACTGCCTTTTTGGGACACTTTTAGTGCTCCATTCGTAAAATTGACGGTTCCTACCCCCTCTAACCCACCCCCTAAACCCCACACCCTATCCCCACCTGTGCACCCCCAACCCAACCCCGCCGTAAGCCCCCCACAAAATGTGTGGCTATTATGCAATGCATAATAGCCACACATTTTGTGGGGGGCTTATGGCGGGGTGGGGTTGGGGGTGCAGGGGTGGGGATAGGGTGGGGGTTTAGGGGTGGGTTAGAGAGGGTAGGAACCGTCAATTTTACCAACGGAGTACTAGAAGTGCCCCAAAAAGGCAGTAGCACCGGAGTGGCACCGTTTTCCGATGTCACTAGAACCTGGCCATTTTATATTATTATAATAATAATAACATAAACTACATTACTTAAAAAGTGCATGATAACGTTACTTTAAAAATTAAAAAAAGTTACAAGTAACACAAATTCAAGTTTCGGTTTTTCTAAGTTACACTACTTTAAATTTTAGAGGAATTTACCTAAATATCACTAAAACATAATGACTTTCCCTAAATAGCACTACATATGTTTTTTTCCCAATGTAGCATTTTTAATCATTATCCATTAGTCATTATTCAAATAAATGTTTGTCATCACTAGTCATTATGGACAGTATAAAGTGCTATTTAGGGAAGAAAATAATCTAAGTAGTATTTAGATAAATGACTTAAGTTTTAGTGCTATTTAGTGCAAATATTTCTTAATTTTATATATAGAAATCTCCTTCTCCGGATTGACTCTGCCAGCTATTCTTGGATTGGAATTGACCGGGCTTAGCTTCATGGGCCGGCCCAGGCCTAAGTATTCCCTAAGCGCTTGACCCGGAACCCATCAAATGGTTCAATTGGGCCGCCCGTTGGATATCGGCCCATCACAAGCCCCCCAACTCCTCATTCCTCGACTGGGCCACGTTGAGGGATGGGGAGTTACGAGGTCCACGTGGGCGCTCCAGCGCGGATCCGGGCCGTTCCTTGCGTGACGTTTGGGCACGAACTCCACATATAGGTAATCATGACCTGCTGCTTCGCCTTCCCATTGTCAGTTAAAACCGCCGCTAGACGCCATCTTCTTCCTTTGCCTTCTTCGTCATCATTCATTCGTGGTTTCATCGTTACCTGGCCCGTTTTCCTTCTTATCCAGGTCAGTTTCCTTTCTCGCAGCCATGATTGTTTCTGATTCCGATTCGGCCACCCCATCGTCCAATTCTCGCCAAGCCGATCACTCGGCCTCTGGTCGTAACCCCAGCCACACTCAATTGCCTCAGCCGTCGCCGTCGGCCGTGCCTGGCCAAAAGCGGCGCCGATTGAGGAAGCAATTTCCTTCCTCAACCCCGGTAGATGAGGGCTCGAGGGTTAAGTTGGACGAAAACATCATGGCGCTGTGCCATTGCCAGATTAGTGACCGGGGGTTCGCCGATGCTACTGATATGGTTGGACCCTCCATCGAGGTCTTGAGACCTACCAGTACCCAAACCGCCCTAGACGCTCCTTCAGGGTTCTTCACAGTTCATCTGGCTTCTCTGAAGAAGGGGCTGCGCTTCCCACTCCATCCGTTGTTGATCGAATTCCTCAATGTGGTGGACCTCCTTCCTTGCCAACTGGTCCCCAACTCTCACCGGTACATCACCGGTTACCAGGTCAGATGCAAGGATGTAGGGGTGAAGCCTAACCTGGACCATTTCGTGTTCACCTTTAAGCTGACCAAGGGCCACAAGGATTGGGCGTTCTATGCCAGCCTTTCCTAGAGGTCCAGTAAACTCTTCGCCAGTGACAAGAAGGGGTCAACCAAGGACTGGAAGCCTTTCTTTGTTTTTGTCTCGACGGGGCCCGAATCTCCTTTCACAGGTTCAGGGCGCCCCTCCTTCCGTCGCATCCCATGCCCCCCGTCGGATGCCACCCTTTTGTCCATCACCCGTCAAGTCTGCAATAAGGGAGTCATGAACATCAAAGAGGTTGTGACAGAGGAATCCCTTGCCGGGTTGGGGTTTGAGTTCGTCCAGGATGAACTCCGTCACCAACCCAACCTGCTGAGGGACATTCCCGGGGGTACCAGCCTGACCAGCTGAGGGACATTCCTGAGGAAGGTCTTGACTGTGGTCCTTTTGGTAATTGACCCTGTTTTTTTTTTTGCCAAAATGTTCTAGTTTATCTCCTTCAAGGCTAACCATTTTCCCCGCTTTCAGTTGAATTACAAGATTTAGGAGAAGAGATGGACGGCGATCTTCTGCTCAGTCACTTCACAGCAGGGAGGAAGAGGAAGAGAGAGGCGAAGGGCCAATGCAAGCGCTCTTCCTCCCACCGAGAGGAAAGTCCTCCTCGAGAGCCAGCTGTAATCGTGGTGGAGGACCAGGATGATGCTGCCCTGGAAACGGGTGCAATGGCGGGCCATTCTCCTCCGCACTCTTTGATGCCAGGTGGCGATCTCGCTGGGTCGTCCCAGGGTGTTGCCTCGGAGCGACCTCCTTCATCGCCCGCAGTAACCTACGAGGTGGCGACCGGGGGTCATTCGACGAGGCTCTGCATTCCTCCTCTGCCCCAAAGTCTAGGGGACGTGCAGCTGGAGACTCTGATCACTCTGCCCGCAGAAGACCAGGCTCGCATCTCGGCCGGTTCTGAGGACGACCTTGACAACATGGTCCTCCTGAGGCTAAGCTAGGTACCTGCATTGATTTCCTTCCACCACCCCTCCCTCTTATGCTCCTAACCTTTATGCCTTGGTGTAGGCTACGCTGGGGATGATTGAGGTTGTCGGTAGGAAACGGGGCCGCCAGGCGGCCTTGGGTGAGGCGTTGAAAGCAGCGGAGGCCAAGCAGAAGGAATTGCAGGAAGAGGTCGCTCGCCTCACAAGGGAGTTGGAGGAGCGGGAGAGTCGCTGCGCTGCTCTCGTGGTGGAGAAAGCCTCCCAAGAGGACCGCTGCGTCGCTCTTGAGGCAGATAAGGCCTCATTGTCCTCGGAGGTAGAATCTGTCTCTGCTCGCGTGGTCGAGTTAGAAGGGGAGAAATATGACCTGATCTAGCAGTTGGAGATGGAGAGGAGCGACCGAGTGCGCCATGCGGAGGAGGCGATTGAGTCCTTCAAGTCCTCCCCTGACTTCACGACGGATGGGCACGCTGATAGCCGAATGGCTCAAAACTAAACCTGGGGCTCAATGAATGGTCAATGAGGGAACCAAGTCCTTAAACTGTGGACTCTTCCGCGCCCAACAGGTCTTCCGTGACAGGTTAGCCCAGCTTCCCAAAGGATTCTCCCTCCCCGACCTCGGCTTCCCTCCTCCCTGTCGCTCCTTGGCCGAGTTCGACCCCAGTCCTTACTTGGACGGAGGGAGCTCGAGCGCTTATAAAGAAGGAGAAGAAGAAGAGGAAAATGGACAGGGCGACCAAAATCCGGGGGCCAGCTTAGCTACATCCAAGGCGGGTGGAAACCCCAGCTCGAGTGTCTAACCTCCCCTGTTGTTCTCCCTCAATTTTGTAAACACTTATGATTTTCTTTGGAATGATTTTGATACAATGTTCTCTCGTTTGGCATGATTTTCGACTTGTTTGGTTCACCATGCGCTTTCCTTAGCTTAGTTTGGTTGCTGGTATGGACAGGGTTTGTTTTTCCTTTGTTTTGGCCCAATTTTTAACCTCGGCCCAAATACACGAGCCGGCCCAACCTCAAGATTGGCCAACGTGCCGCCCAACTGACCCAATGCCCATTGCAGTTTCTGATTGGACCTTCGCGCGGCTCAAGGCTGCTTTATCGGTTCAGCTGCCTTGGGACTTGACCATCTCTTCGGTTTCTTCACTTAGGCTTATTTATAAGCCCCCCTAGCCTTCACTTTGTTCCATCACCAAATACTTTCCATTTCTTCATTTTTGTCATGTCTCAAGGAATTCCTACTTCTCTGAATCTTTCCGATGGGCCGGCTCCTTCTTCGCTGGAGCCTGCCTCCTCCCCCAAGTCAGTTAACTCCAATGACTGGGGGGCTAGACCCCTACGAATTTTGCCGCCGGTTGCCTCGTCGGCAGTGGCCATCGGTGAAACTGCCGCCGATACCCCCAAATCCTTATGATGATTTCAGCGAGGCATACAAGGCTCTCTCTGCCAACCGTCTGCCTGACGGGCGGATTGACTGGGATGCCCCATGCCCGCTCCATTCGCTGCAGTGCATGGCCTGGGAGAGCATGCAGAATGAGCACCTGCCCCTCTTGGAGCATGAGAGTGCGTATTACACGAGTTTGGAGCGATGGACTAGCGAGAGTCGCACCAGCTCGCCGGTGAGGCCTAAAGATGAGGTTGTGGTGGGGGGAAGAACTGGGTTCTTCCCTACCCCGCCCCGCTGGACGCTCACCTCCCCGGAAGGCCCCTAGGCGATCTGGGGTAGCTCGAGCGGCCTCAGGGTCTGCATCCTCATCTAGATGATGCTGATTGGGGCTCACAGAAAAGTGAGTCGCCTCCCTTCCTTCCACTGCGGGAGAAGGATGGTGGGTTTTTGCCGCGGCTGGGGGCGGCCACTCCTATTCCATGATGGAGAAGAAAGGTGGTCGCTCTGGACGGCCGGTGATCGGAGTCCTGTTGGCCTATACAGCTGCAGAACTACCCTTCAACCTTGCCTTTTCCCCTGGACTCTTTATCCTTTCCGGGCTTCAGCCGCGCAAAGTTCTGGATTTCATCTCTTTCTTCTTTTTCCTTGTAAGAAATGTATGGGAAAATCTCCCTTCTTTTGGAAGTATGTAGAGATTGTTCTCAACTGTATTGTATGTGTAGACGCAAGAGATTATCCTTGAAATGTAATAAACATTTTCATAAATGTGCTTTGATGTTACCTGTTTACTTACAAGTCCCATCTTCTTCTCTTTTGCATCTCATTTTGAGCGTTTAGGCTTTCTCAAACCTTAGTTAGAGAATACCTCGCCTCTTTTGACTTAGCCATTTTTGGGTTGTTTTAACCCCTATGGCGTCGCCATACTTCCAAGGTCCGCAGGTCGCTCATGCGCCTTCAGGCCGTTCATGCGATCAGCAGATTTTATGCTCCAGACTTAGCCGTTTTCTTAGGCTTTCTCGCCACGGCGTCGCCCTCTGGTTAGTCGCACCGCCCCTATAGTTGCTCTGACGACCGGGGAGCGAGCATTCCTCAATAGCCTTCAATCTTGGTCGCTTGACAAGGTTCGGCACTTCATCCCCTGGCGGGTGTCTTAGTACGAATCACCATACAGCTTCGATTAGCGATCTCTTTGGTCGCTTCTCTTTTTTTTATTTTTTCGAGATGGAGGTAAAGATATTCTAGAATGTTGGTTCTATTAAACTTTAAAAAAGAGAAACACGGCTGAAATACAATCTATTGATAAAATTTAATAAGATTGGCGGCATTCCATACTCGCAGAACGTCGCCTCGAGCTGGTGTTTGCAATTTAAATGTCCCATCGGCCAACGCCTCCTTTATGATGTATGGCCCTTCGAAATTCTTAGCGAACTTCCCTCCGTCGGTCGGCCGACTGACCTCCCTTTTCCTAAGGACCCAGTCGCCTACTCTGAACTGCCTTGGTCGCACCCGTTGGTCGTGATATGACTTGACTTGCCGATGGTAGTTCTCCGCCCGTATGTACGCCCTTTCTCTCCGCTCATCAATGAGGTGCAGCTGTAACACCCCAACCCGTGCGACCCGAATACAAGGATCCGCGGATTGGGTTGCTACCAAATTGGTATTCAAACACATTAATTTTCCGAATCAATTTAAAACATTTAATTCAAAACAATATTTAATTATCCATCAGAGTAAATCAAAACGGTTTCGGAAGCTAAATTCATAATCCAAAACACAACTTGGGAATCATGCCCGAAATAGTAATAAGTTATTTAAGTAATTAATAAGAGTTCAAAGTCGTCGAACACCGCCACGCACATCTCAGCCTTCTCATCGCCCTCCGGGATTGGCTCCAAGCTCATCATTACCTGGATTACCTATGTGTAGCAAATAGGAAAAAGGGCTACACGCTCAGCATTGAAGCTAAGTGAGAAATATCTAACATATAGCTACACCCATAGATGATCCCTGTCCCCTTTGGAACGACAGTTCTTAGATCCCCGTGTACACGTTTTTACCCGGACAGCCATTGAACCCAGCAGGTACCACATGACTCTAACTTACTAACTTATGACATATCTTGTCACTATTTCCATTCAGGTCAGATCCTAGGCTTGTTCTAGGTATTTCATACTTTAATCGCCATTAGTTTATAGAATGCATGTTCATGCATCCTACACATATTTCGTCACATTCAATACACTCAATTAGCGGCCTAACGCTGGGCATCACTACCCATGTTTACCGTCATGCAACACACAAAGTCTCGGAATCAATCCTCGACGCAAACAACAAAACGCAGACCGGTTCAGGTACCTCACGGTACCCCTTGGCGGTAGGGGTTACCGGCCCCACGGTACGGGGGTACCGTCCGTGTCAGCTGGGGTCCCCTCCGGTAGCCCATCACGGTAGCCTCCACCGGTCAGACGGTAGAGCCTACCGTCCACATGGCACCTGGATCCCGTCCTAAGTAGGTACCGACAGAGAGGAACGAAACCAGGGCGGCTGGCGGTAGCCAGGTACCGTGTCAACGGTACCCCCCTACCGTCTGTCGCAGCGAACACCAGACCTGCACCAGCTCCGTTTTCGTCCCTTAGACCGCACCTGTTACAGTGAAAACAAACGTAACAGATCATGAATCAATAACCTAACATTATCTAAACATTCCACAATCATTCCAACATCAATCATGCTTTCCAAATCACAAACGACATATACAAAGCACAATTCACGTAAAAACCACGTAGATCAACCGTAACGATTCTATGAACGTAAGATTCAAACCTACGAATATAACCATACATTAGATGACCACGCACTCACCTCGAATTCGACGATTAAAGATTACCGAGGTGGTGTTAGCGGCGTGGAGACGAACGATGGCTACTTCTTCCTTCTTCTTCTTCTTCTTCTTCTTCTTCTTCCTCTGCTGCGTTCGTCCTTCTGCTCTGTTCCGTTCGGCGAGAGTGGAACGCAAGAGAGAGAGACGTTAGAGAGTGGGGAGAAGTTATGTAACAATAGTATGGAGCGTAAGGGTTTTAGACGTGCAAGGAGTATACTTATACTTTTGGGGTTTTGGGTTCCGTATAAACTAAACGTACCTGGCCCACACGCACTATCCGGGCCCACTGACTCCAAATCCAAATCCGATTTCACCGTTGGATTCGATTTGTCGAACCCTACATAACGGTATAATAATTATTTCCAAACGAAATATATACATAATTGCTACCGGGTCCGTCTCAATAATTAATTAATTATTCCTAATTAATTAATTCTGATAGGCCGGGTTTCGGGGCGTTACAGCAGCTCTGCCCTCAAGTTTTCTTCATTCTCCTGGGCGTCAAATGTCTCCACTCTATAACTCAGCAATGAGGTCTCCGCTGGAGCCCTTGCTTCAAACCCATATGTGAGCGAGAATGGAGTTTCACCCGTAGCCTTCCTCGGGGTAGTTCTGTAGGTCCACAAGATGTAGGGCAATTCCTCCACCCAGGCGCTTTTACATTCCATTATCTTCTTCTTCAGGCCATCCACAATGGTACGATTAGTGTTCTCGACCTGCCCATTGGCTTGGGGGTACCCGACCGCTACGTAGCTGTGTTTTATACCCCAGCTCTGTAGAAACTCACTGAACCCTCTAGCCTCGAACTGGGTTCATTGTCGGTGATGATCTGCTGGGGTACCCCGAATCGGCACAAGATTTGCTTGGATACAAACTTCCTCATCTGCTCTTCGGTGATGGTCGGCATGGGGGCAGCCTCGAACCACTTGGTAAAGTAGTCGATCGCGACCACCAGGTACGTGTTGTTTCCTGTTCCCCTGGGCAAAATACCGACCAGATCAATACCCCACCGAGCAAAGGGAATTTCCGTGCTGATCGGGGTTTAATTCGTCGCTGGACATCTTGGCACCTTTTGGAACTCCTGGCAGACCTTGCACTTACGCATGTATTCTGCGCAATCTCTGATAATCGTTGGCCAGAAATACCCTTGCAGAGTCACCTTTCTGGACATTGTGAAGGCTCCCTCGTGTGCCAAGCATATTCCTTCATGGATTTCCTCCATTAACTTCTGCGCCTCGTCCCTTCTTAGGCATCTCAATAATGTACCATTGTACGACCGTTTGTACAACCGACCGCACTCAGCGTGTAGCTAGGTGCACGTCGTTTCACCACCTTTGCTGCGATTGGGTCGGTAGGTAGCGACCCATCAAGGATGTACATGGTAATTTCATCGATCCAATCCGGCTCTTTGAGCGTAATGACCAGCACTTGTCCGGGACTAATGCTTGGCTCAAGCAACTCTTCTTCCTGGGTCATTACCTTGATATGATCTGGGGAATCCGGACCAAGCTTCGACAAGATGTCCGCCTCGGCATTCTCTTCTCGGGGGACCTGCTCTATCTGGTACGCTCCAAATGCTTTAAGCAACTCCAGAGCAGCGTCCCTGTACTTCTTCATTCGCTCATCCTTGGCCTCAAATTCTCTTGTGACATGGCCTACTATCAATTTGGAGTCGCATCGGACCTGAATCCGTTCATCTTTTAATGATGCTGCCAGCCTCAAACCGCAAAGCAGCGCCTCATATTCAGCCTCATTGTTTGAGACCTTGAACCGGAACCTCACGGAGTAGTATGCTTTGAACCCTTCCGGTGATATTGCCACGACACCTCCCCCCGAAGCATCAATAGCGGACGAGCCATCAGTGTACACAGTCCACCAGTTTCCTTCGGGTTCCTCTCCATTGGACTCCTCTTCCCTCGCAGTGCATTCCACCACGAAATCCGCCAAGGCCTGCCCCTTTATCGCCGGTCGTGGCTTAAACTCTATTTGGAAAGACCCCAGGAACACTCCCCACTTGCTGACTCGCGACGGGGCATTTGGGCTTCGAAGGAGTGTTCCGATTGGAGTTTGAGATAACAAATGGACCGGGTGAGCTTGAAAATATGGGGTGAGTTTCTTCACCGTGCATACCACCGCAAAGATGGTTTTTTCCATGTTCGTATATCTTAATTCAGCCCCCTGCAGTACCCGGGCCACGTAGTACACCGGTCGCTGCGTACCCTCCTCCTCCCGCATGAGTACCGAGCTCACAGCTCGAGGAGAGATTCCCAAGTACAGAAATAGGGTCTCTCCGGGCTCTGGCTTCGAAAGTACCAGTGGGGAAAGGAGGTATGCCTTCAACCCTTCAAAGGACCGTTGGCATTCTTCGGTCCAAACAAACCCTTTACTTTTCTTGATGGTCTGGAAGAAGGGTTCCGCTCGATCAGCTATCTTCGATAAGAAGCGACTGAGAGCAGCGATCCTCCCTGTAAGCTGCTGGACCTCCTTCACGTTCCGCGAAGGTTCCATCTCCAAAATTGCCTTCACCTTCTCCGGATTGGGCTCAATCCCTCTTCGACTGACCATATGTCCTAGAAACTTACCCCCATGAACCCCGAATGTACACTTCTTGGGGTTAAGGCGGAGCTGGAACTTCTTCATGATCTTAAAAACCCTTTCCAGATCTTGGGCATGGAACCCCATCTGCTTGGACTTGACGATCATATCGTCCACATACGCCTCCATACATCCCCCCAACACCGGTGCGAACAGTTTGTTGACCATCCGTGCGTAGGTCGCACCGGCATTCTTTAAGCCAAAGGGCATTACCCTTAACAGTACACTCCATTGGGGGTAATGAAAGCGGTCTTCTCTTCATCCGCTGCAGCCATCTTGATCTGATGGTACCCGCTAAATGCATCCATAAAACTCATCAGCTCACACCCTGCCGTCTCATCAACCAACCGATCAATGTTGGGGAGAGAGAAAGGATCCATCGGGCAGGCTTTATTTAGGTCAGTGTAATCGACGCACATCCGTCAGGTATTCCCTTTGGGTGCGAGGACTACATTCGCCAACCATTCCGGGTAGCGGACTTCCCGGATGTGCCCAATGGACTGCAGGGTTGTCACCTGCTTGGTGACAAAATCTCTTCGTTCTGAAGAAAGAAAACGCTTCTTCTGCTTGATCGGCTTGTGGGTCGGGTCTACTGCCAACCTATGGCAGATGATCCTTGGGTCGACCCCGGGCATATCCTCCGGGCCCCAAGCGAATAGCACCTTGAATGCTTGAAGGACCTCCAACAGTTGCTCCTTTAACCTAGGCGGTAAAGTTTTACCTACCTTCACCTTCTGCTCTGGCCTGGCCGGATCCAAGGTGACTTCTTCAATTTCGTCCGCTGGCTCAACTCGAGGTCGCCCCTCCTCCTTCTGGATCGCAGCACAGATCGTGCTCACGTTCTCATCGACCCGTGCCTGGCTCTTGGTCGCCCTAACATAACACGATCGAGACAAGCTTTAATTCCCCTTTGCCACTCCCACCCCTGTGGGGGTGTTAAACTTTAGGCATAGATGGACGGGGGAGATTACGCACTCCAGGTCCTCCAACCCTGGTCGCCCCAGAATCAAATGGTGTGCACAATCGAGATGCACTACCATGAATTCCATGTCGAGCCAGAGTCGGTGGGTGCCATCTCCTACCCCGGCCTTCACTGTGATGGTCCCTTCGGCTTCAATGGTATCTCCTGTGAACCCTAACAGTGGCGTATGGATCGGCTTCAGGTCGCTTCGAGACATTCCCAACTCCTTAAAGGTGTTGCTGTACATAACATTGACCGAACAGCCAGTATCGACCAATGTACGATGGACGACCACATTATTGATCTCCACCTTTATCACCAGCGCGTCCCTGTGGGGGTTGAGGACTGGTGGGTAATCCTCGTCCGTGAAAACCATAGGTTCCTTCTTCTTCCGCTTGGGTAGCGGTGGCCTTTGTACCTCTGCCAGATGCACCATATTTTTCCATTTCTTCCGTGAGGACACCGAATCCCCTCCGGTGTTACCTCCCATGATGAACCGACACCCTAGGTGTCGGCGGCTCTACCTTTCCTCCTCATCTAGGTCGTCACAATCTCTCCCCAGATGTCGTCGTCCATCCTCCTGCCCTTCTCCTGCTGTGATCGCTGCTGTCGGGGCTGCCAGTCTCCTCCAGGTCCGGTTACTTGAGGATGGTCGCTCCGAACGAGGAGGCGGCCCCTTGGCGATCAACTGATCCATCTCCTTCTTCAACGTAACGCACTCCGACGTATTGTGGGTGCTGTTACGGTGGTACTCGCAGTATTTGGGTGCTTCTTGCACACCATAGCTTTCCCGGCTGTGAGGAGGGGCAGGCAAAGACTGCACCGCATGAACAAGATGTCTGTTCGCATGATATCCGGTGGGGTTCGGCCCCTTACCGTAATCTTTCCTTTTCTTTCCTTCCGCCACTGGTGGCCCGCTCTTCTTCTCCTTCCGGACGGGTGGTTCATCGTCTTCCGCTTCCAACGCCAGGTATTTCGCCCTGGCCAACATCTCCTGATAGGTTGAGAGCGGATTTCGTCACAGCTCCTTGCGCACATTCCCTTGGGGGAGTGCAGCTTGGAGCATGGCGATCAGGACTTGGTCGTCCGCCCCTTGGACGTCCCTGGCCTCCTTCTCCCACCTATTAATGAATTCCCGGAGCTGCTCTCCTTTCCGGATCTTCACATTGAGCAAGTGCGAGAAGGGGAGCTTTTGCCTCCGGCTGGATGCAAAGTGCTCCAAGAACTTGTGGGCCAGGTCGCTCCACTTGTCTATCGATCTCTTTGGCAACTTGTGAAACCACTCACAAGCCTGCCCTTCCAGTGTCGCCAGGAAGCATCGACACTTGATTTCTTCTGGGTATGCATACATGACCACGTTCGCCTCGAAGCGAGCAAGGTGGTCCTGGGGATCGGTCGTCCCGTTGTACGCCTTGATCTGTGGGGTCTTGAAGTTGTCCGGGAGAGGGCAGGACATTATCCTTCTGGAGAAGGGTGTTACCTCGCTAAAGACCGCCTGGCGGTAGGGGTTTTGGGCGTCCAGTCGCTCATACATCCTCCACAGCTCAGCTGCTTCATTGTCCTCGACCGCCTTTTGTCGCTCCTCAGAGCCGATCTTGGATGTCGCTGTGGATTCTCCTCTCCTTGAGCGTCTCCTTGAGGTCGCCCTTGCAGGCAGACTGAGTGTCTTGCAACCGTTCGAACGCGGAGGTTCGGGGCTTCTTTGACTTGGGGTCTCCCAAGCGATCAAAAGCAGACATCCGCTCGAAAGAGGACGACTCGTCTTCCTCGTCCAATCTGGACAGCGCATCTTTCATTATGGCCTTCCCATTAGGCTTGGTCGCCTTCTTCTTCTGGGACCGCCTCACTTTCTTCTTTTTCCCCTAAGAGCCCGCATGTCCAGCCTTCCCGCTTGTGGGTCCCACAACCTCATCTTCCACCACAATCTCGCGATTGGGCGTCAGTGCCGCCAGCACCTCCTTGAACTGCTCAGCCGTGATTCCGACCCTCTGGATGAGGGCTTCTGCCTCCACCGTGGTGATAGGGGGTGCCGGCCTCCAGTGGCACTGTTTTCTCCCTGGTGGGTTTCTCCCTGCGTGTCTGCACCATCGTTTCATGGAGGGTTTCCTCTGAGTATAATTCTCGAACTCTCAACGAGAGCACCAATTTGATGGACAATAAATCAACCAAATGATCCGATTCAGAAGAGCGGATCGTAAGAACAGAATTAAGAACGAGAATTCGAGAATAGGGTGTGTATTATTAGCTTAATTTAGCTTGAGTTTTCCCCTTTCGGGCCTCCTCTATTTATACATCGGTTCTAGACAATTAAGGTAATACATAATTATTGGAGTCTCTCCCGTCAATGGTGCGATCCCCTTTTTCCGGCTTCGTCTCCGTCATTCAGCTCCGTCTCCTTCTCCGGATTGACTCTGCCAGCTATTCTTGGACTGGAATTGACCGGGCTTAGCTTCATGGGCCGGCCCAGGCCTAAGTATTCCCTAAGCGCTTGACCTAGAACCCATCAAATGGTTCAATTGGGCCGCCCGTTGGATATCGGCCCATCAACAATCTTTTTTGTTGCCATGGATTCTTCTTCATCTCCGATCGAAGACGAACAATATTTTTTATTTGGTGACGGAAGCGGGATAAGTTCTTCTGGCGCAACCACAAAACGTATAGTCATCGACGCCACAAAGAAGACTGAGATCTGGAGGGTATAATTTTTTGTTTTCTAGTCGTATAATTTACTTCCTCCGTCCCAAAAAAAATTTCAAATACAAAAAAAAGCACAACCTAAAAATGTATGATTTTGATATTATTTTCTAATTTTGTCATTACTTTATAATAAGGTAAGATATGATGTGTAGGATAGATGAATCATTTTTAAAATTTAATCAATTTCGGGTCTAATCAATTCCGGGTTAAATCGTATTCAGATCAGAATCGAGTCTGAATACATTCGGTTCGTGTTCGGTTCGGTTCGGATCATTTTGGGTGTTCGGTTCTATTTCGGTTCTTCAGTTTTCGGGTCAAATCGAGTTCGGTTCCAGGTTATTCGGTTCGGGTTATCGGGTTCGGGTCTGTTTTGCCAGGTCTAATTTTAAGATTACTTTTCAATCTTGTCCAAATTTATACCAAGAGGCGGCTAGAAAAAATGTTGAACGACTTTTTGATGTTCTAAAGCAACGGTGATACATTGTTCAAAACTTGACACATGCTTTCCAAGTAAAAAAGTTGAGATACATTATGTATGCTTGTATCTTATTAAACAAGATGACACTTGGAGACGAATGGCGAGNCCCTAGGTCGGCACCTGCTCTGCTCCGATCTGTTCTCTCGTCTCTATCCGTCTCCGTATTCAACCCATTCTTTTTGCTTCTTTTATACACAAATTAATTCAGCTTTAGTCTTCAATTTGGATTAGGACTTGAAATTAGAGATGGAGTTGTAGAAGAAGGCTATCCGGTTGATTCTGGGGCTCCTACCTCTTCTACGTTTCTTTCTTTCTTTTTCTTTTATTTATTTCCTTGCTTAACAATTGGGTCAAAAGGGTGATGGCCAATTAGATGTCTGGGCTTGGCCCAATCCTCCTCTATTCCTTTAATTGCTTTTGAGCTCCAAAACACGGAGTATATATCTAAAAAGATTGTGTCAAGGAAAATAATACTTTCAAATATGGAGTAATTGTAAAACATAATCTTGCTCAAAATCTTGCATTTTATGTATAAAACATAAACAATAGCCTTAAATGCTAAATATTGGAAAGTATTAATATTTCGGTATAAAATGCATCAAAATATCTTAAAAGTGCTAAGAAGTGAGAGAATAAAATATGTTATTTTGTGACTCAACAAATACCCCACACTTAGACTTTTGCACGCCCTCGTGCAAACTAGATATTGAAAATCAATTTTTTGTTGAAATTAGGACTCAAAACAATTTCTCAATCTTAGAACAATCTAAAGTGATGCATGAAATATTAAACAGAAATTAATTATGTACCAAATAGAATAAACCCTTTAAAAATCAATTTGCTACTTTAAGTGTTAAAACAATTCTTTTACTTCAAAGCTAAGTAGGAAATATTTTTATTTAATGTCAAAACTTTGAATTAACTAAGGTCATTGAGAACAATTTAAAAGAAATAAATAGAGCAGCAAAAAGTGGTTAGAAATCCTAAGAAACAATCAAGTAAAGAAAAGCTCAAGAAAATTTATTTTCTTTACCAAAATTTGGAAACTTTTATTTATTGCTTTGATTTAATATTTTAATTTTAATTGTTTGAGTTGACCCGTGTAGCGAGTCTCAACCAGGCTACCCCAGGCCCATTCCAGATAGCCCGGGACCTAAATAAACGAAGTATTCCGAGGGTTTCAACTCGAGTGCTCAAACAATATTTTCATTCATATTTTATTCTTTTAATTTTACCTAGCCATTTATTGCATTTTTTTCTTTTTGGCTCAATGGCGCCGGCTTTTTCTTATTTTTTTACACTGGGTATGGACGAGATTCGTACGACCCAAAATGGGGTTTGCTCTTCCAACTTAGGTTTTCTCCATACACAACATCATTTCCTTTTGGAATCTGTTGCTTAAGGGGACAAAGGTGCCGTGCCATCCATGCCAACCTAAGATGGTGTTCCAGCTTATATATTATATTATTTCATCATCTTGATGATATGTAAATAGCCAAAATTGAGAAAAAGAAAAAAGATTTTCTTAAGACTTACTTTACTTGAATAATAACTTAGGACAAAAAAGAGTTAGAAAACTGCTCCATGTATTTCTAAACAAATTGTGCACATTGAACTTAACTAATTGAAAGGTATGAAATTAAATAAAAACAAGTTCCAAATAGATTTGATGTAAAAGAAAAAATTTTATAGTAGCAAACTCATTTTTAAAGAAATTCAAACATACTTGTTACAAAATTAATTTCAGTTAAATGCAAAAAATGCAAACACTTAAGAGTGCTAAAAGATTAAAAGAAACTATTATGATTTCTAATTTTTCTTAAAATTCTTCTTCTTTTTATATAGATTTTATGTGAAAGATTATTGTTTTCTTCAAAATTTTTAAAAAATTTTAATTTTTAACCAAATTGCGTCTAAAATGCTATGTTTGACATGAAATGTTTTTTTATTTACCCAATTCATGCTCCTAGTATGTGTATGAAAAACATGCAAACAATTTTTTTTAAAACATGGATAACTAAATGCAGAAGCGTCCCCCCACACTTAAATCATGCAGTGTCCTCAATGCATGTCAATGATATAAAAATGATGAACTTATGCACATACAAGATGAAACAATTAATCAACATGAAGCATGAAGAATCATAAAACAAATGCTACATGATAGGGAGGAGATTATAAGATATGACATGTAAGCACACAAGGCAAGCAAAATGCAAGTAAATGATAAAAAAGTTAATTAAATGCATAAAAGTAAAAGTATTAATATCAGGGTTGCCTCCCAGAAAGCCGCCCTCTTTTGGTGTCTTCGGCTAAATCCTTTATCAGGACAATATAAAGAGTCCATATTATACTCTTAATAACTTGTGGCAGTGTGATTCTTAGCCCACTGCACCTTAGACTGCCCTTGTTTCCTTAGGCATGTACAAGTGCAGAAACTATCAACACCTATTACATTCACAACCACAAAAAAAAAAATGTTAGAAGCAACATGTCAATAGCAAAACATGCACCTGAATATAGTGAGTTGTTTCTCTTTTTCTTTTTTAAGGTCTGCTCATCTTAATTTTTAACATTAGTTAGGCGAGATTAAGTTAGAAAAAAAACTACAAGTTCAGATATAGTTAAATTGTGCAATTCTTTGGTATGTCAGGTTTCGGTTAAAATAGGTTACATTTATATTACTTCAAATTAACACTGAGAGTTAGAGTTAAGTAAAATCAACAGTCTAAGAAATCTACCAGGACAAGACACAAATCTAACTAAAAATCATTAAGAAATAAAAGACTAACTCACCAATTTCAGATTGAAAATTGAGTTACAAAAAAAAACTCTAAGCAAAACACCCTATTAATTCATAAAGACACAAGTAAATCTAAACAGTACACTAGGCTAGCATTTGGGAGAACAAACAAAATAACACTAAAAAATTATATTTCACACTTTTTTTTGTGTTTTATTAGAAACTAAAGAGTTTTTTAAGTGATTTTTTTAAGTTCTAATTTTTTTCTTTTTTCAAGAGTTTTTTTTGAGCTTCTTTTTTTTGTTTCATAATTTATATATTTTTTTTGTTTTGGTTTGAAACAGAGTAAACTGACTCTCACAAAAAAAGTGATCTTTCAATTCCCCGGCAACGGCGCCAAAATTTGTTAGGCATGTCGTAGCACCTACAAATTAATTTATTATTTCCTTAACTTTTAACCCCCTTTATGATTCAATATTCATCAACATATATAGATAGGACAAGTAAGGGTCGATGTTAAATATATATTGTATATTTAATATATTTTATATATATTTGGTAGTTTCCCTTGTATAGAAGGATTGCATTTATATCCTACCATAATTAGGAGACTTGTATCTTGTATATATTCGAGGCTTGACCTCCGAGATCAATACAGAAATTCATTATTCTTCATGGTATCAGAGCCTCTTTCCGTGGCCTAAACCCTAGAAACTATCTCTCTCGTGCGCCGTCTCTCTCAGCCGCACTCCCCAAACCCTAACGCCGCAGCCCTCTGCTCGGCGTTCTCCCCCCTCTCAACCGGCGACTGCCGTACCCAGCAGCGCCACCCCAGCGACGCACACCAGCAGCATCTCCAGCGGCGCACCAGCAGTCCCTCACCATGTCCGAGAAGCCCTCCTCTGACAAGTCTCCTTCCCCGACTTCAACTCCTCACTTGGCTTTCACGACCATCTCGAACGTGAAACTTCACGTTCCGATCCTCTTAAGCTTTATGGAGCCGAACTACAAAAAATGGAGCCACCTCTTTCTTTTATTGGTTCGGCGCTTCTCCCTCGGTGACTTTCTCACCGGAAAGTCGGCCCCCTCCAACGACGACGACACTGATTGGTACCAACTCGATGCTCTTATCCAGGGTTGGATCCTCTCAACGATCAACGACGAGGTCTCCGACCTAGTCCTCTCCTCCACCGACTCGGCGTCCGAACTTTGGCGATCCATTTACTCTCTCTTTCATGACAATAAACCGGCCCGGGCAATGCAATTGGAGCACCAATTTCGGACAACGAAGAAAGGCTCGCTCTCCATATCGGCTTATTGTCAAACTCTCAAGAATATAGCCGATTGGTTGGACGACATAGATGCCCCTGTCTCGGAACAACAGTTGGTGTTGCAGGTTCTCCGGGGGCTGCCCGACGACATGCGGGGTCAAACCTCCTTCCTCCAATTCCAAACTCCCCCGCCAACGTTTCTGCAAACCCGCTCAGCTCTTCTTCTCCTGGAGCGCCAGCAATCAGACTTAGACAACACCGATTCATCATCTGGCACGGCCCTCTTCTCGGCTGGTCACACCGGCGCTCACCCACACAGCCCCGCAGGTGGAGGCCGTGGTTCCTTCAGCAGCAGCGGCGGTCGTGGGCACTCAGGCAGCAGCGGCGGTCGAGGAAGGGGAGGTCTGTGCAACCGTGGACGAGGCCGAAGCTCCGGGTCGAATCCCCGCACCACCCACGGACAGCAGCCCTGGCAGTCACCAAACTC